CAAAGGGGTCGTCGATCCTCCCCCCCCCCCCCCCCCAAAACGTCTTTTTTGTATTGTTTACCCTTATTTCGAATGTCTGTCCAAAGAAGAATAAGTCAATTTTGTTTGAATAAAAATAAGGTTAAAGCTAGGTATATTAATGTGCTAACATCCAAAAGATAAATGATTCATTTGAGAGACTTCAAGATTTAATTAAGGACCCTACACTTACTGTTTGACAACTTCTCCATTGATTAATCTTCTCTTACGACTAATATCCACCCAACTCTTGTTTCATTGCACTTATTCCTTCTGACTTATCATTACGGTCGACGTTGATATTCGATTCGATATTTTCAAAATTCAGGAATTAATAATTGATAGTAGATAACAAATATCGAATTTCTAAAGTTTGACCTTATATGGTAAATCTAATTTTGACCTGATAAATACCGTTCTATTTGATTTTTCAACCTCTTGTTTCCATGAACTGAATCGTTTTTTCTTTATAAGCCATAAACTTAATAGTACATAATATTTTGTGTAATTCATTTCATTGGAGGGCAAGGTTAGACCTTTTCGTAAACCACAAGGTTATATCTGGACCTTTTATCAACAAGAATATGAATGAGGTAAACTTCTAACGGATAGCAAAGTTAAGACATTTTCTCAAAGTACAAGCTACAGCGCGAATTTGGACCTTTTCATGGTATAGTTGAGTTGTGATCACCAATAGGGACTCCAATGGCGTAATTTCAGAAGAAAAAAAAACATGATGTGCTAATTGACAAAAGAAAAGTTAGATTTCACAACAGGTTTGCAAAGCGCAATAGCCATAGTTCCAAACTGTTTTGTGAGCAGAACTCATTAGTGTTCTGGACCCATACATTGGACTTTATTTATTACAGAAATGTGCTACTATAATACAATGTCTCCAAATATATGACATATTACTAGGACACATTAAATAGTATTCCGCATTACTACTAATCAAATACAAACATTAGCTTAATAAGTCCAGAAACCAAAACCTTGGTCTTCAACTGGAAATCCAAAGTAACTCAAATTTGATGATGTCGCGGGATAATCATCATCCGCGGCTTTGCCAAGTAGGTTGGCAGTAGAAAGCATAGTCTTGCTGAAGTTTTCATCATCATCCTGAGATAAATCCGACTGCTCAGTTTCAAATACGCGAGCAGAATCACCCTGATCTATGACTGAGGAATGCACCCTACCGGTGTAACGTGGGCTCTCTGAGTCAAAAACATCACTCTTAGCAGAGCTTAAATCTTCCTGCTGGTGCTTAACAACCAGAGCTGGTACATTGGACATTTCTACTCCTGAAATTGGATCAGCCACGGTTTCTTTTGCCAATGCATCGGAGTGTTTGTTTTCATCGCGTAAATCAATTTGCCCGTTTCCTTTCTCTTTGACAAACAGCTTATCGGTGAGATGGAAAACCTGAATTAAGGATTGAACCATCAAACATAAGCATAGCCCAAGGGCTCACGAAAATGAAATTACATTTAATTAAGTACCAAATATGATGCAAATATAATAAAGGTCCTTACTTCAGTTCGAAGATCTTCTTTTTCCTTGAGAAGATTATTGTAATTTGATTTCAGAGCGTCGTATCTATTCCTCAGTTCATCATAATCTTTCTCAAGCTGCTTAGTCTTCCATCGTGCACGACGATTCTGAAACCAAATTGCAATTTGGCGAGGCTGCAAACCAAGTTCTTTAGCAAGCTGAACTTTTCTTTCAGGTTCAAGTTTGTTCTCTTCCCCAAAACTCTTCTCAAGAAACTGAACTTGGTTGTCAGTAAGTCGCCTCTTCTTCTCCGCTTGATGAAAATACTCCCCCAATTCATCAGCTTCATTGTCATCCTGATCGAACGAGTCAAAGAATGACCTTTTCCCTCCATTAACACCGCCAAAACTGACCATAGAACTGGATCCTGATAGATAAAAATACCCACAGAACAAATTACTACCAAGTTATCAATTTTGACCAATATTCAGTTCCATTTAAAACTAGCTAAGACTTTCTAGTATTCTTCATATCAAGACATCATCAGTTGCTCTTGTATCTCTACTTTCTATTACAATTTACAACAACATACCCTAGTGAAGTCCCACTAAATGGAATCTCGGGAGTGTAGAGTGTGCATAGACCTTACCACTCCACACGAGATGGAGACCCTGTTTCCGAAAGATCCTCAACTCAATCTCATCAAACCCAACTTTTTCTATTACAATTTGCTATACAAATTCAATTTCATCACTAGATGGATGAGCTTACAACTATCTTAGGCCAATCAACAAAAATGATCACAATAGTAATTCAATTCAATATTTAAGGGGAAAATATCACAAATTCATACAAACAAATAAGATTTCTATCCAAACCAATACTAACCAAATAAAAATATACAAAGTCAACGGTGTAAGAAATATATACCCAAGAAATTAGAAGAACAGGCAGGGGCAAAAAGGGAACCAAGATGCCCTTTTGGCGCAGTAGATGAAGAAAACACATCCCTCTGTTTTTGAGTAAAAACGCCATCGAAATTAGAAGCACCACCGTAGAGAATCCCTGGAGCCATCATAGCTTCGAATTCTACAGATATTTTTTTAAAATTATAAAACAGAGATCTTTTCAAGAAACACCCATATCCACTCGTTTCGTTATGTAATCAAGAATTTGGGGTTCTTGATAAATATCCCTTTTAAATATATATTGCTTTCTTGTATTAAAACTATATACTATATGGAATTAATAGAGATCTATAGCTTGTGGCGAAAGAAGCTTGTGATTATGATTTCAGTGATGTGGGAAGTGTGAGAGCACCTACTCCCGATCACCATAAACATCATCACCCTTGCTTACAAATTCAATACAGGGATATGATTATAAAATAAAAAAAAAGAGAGATAGCCAAGTTCCAGAACCAAAAACAGAAGCTTTTTTTTGGAATAAAACAGAGCAAAGAGGGTGTTGGAGCAGAGAAGAGATGTGGACTAAAGTGTTTTGATTTATTTCTCTTGACAAGAGACTACTTATAACCAAAGATAATTTTAGCTTTGGTCACCTAGTGAGTGTAATTAATCAAGGGCCCGCTTTAACGTGCTATATGAAATCATGATATCAAATCAAATTGATAGAAAGTTGAAATTGTTTAGACATGTTTTTTTTGCATTTTTCAAATTGTACTTTTTTTTCAATAAACACGAATAGTTTCCAAATTATGAAAATTATTAAATTTTATAAATTCTTATATAATTTTACCAAATGAGTAAATTATAGTACATAAATAAAATATCGAAATATTGTAAGATACTACATTGACGAATTGTGTGTATCCATTTCTTTTTATAAATAAATATTTGTGATTATAAACTTTTCAATACACATAATTTTATAAAACTTTACTTATCAACAATAATAATAACTAACTATTTTTTAACATAAATATTGTGCGAACAATGTTCATACCGAGCATGAGACTTTCTTGCAAAAGTTTAAAAGATTACTCTTTCTTTTATAAACTATATAAACTTACGAGTCTAGTGTTACATTTAAAAAAAAATAATAAATGATTTGAAATTGTAAATCATCATACTTTACGGAGAATTTAAATTTTTAAATCATGATTTTCAATTGTATGTGAATGCAAAATTGAAATCCTAACTTCATATCACATATTTGAGTGCAAGTTAAATATATCTTAGAGAAATATCACATTTAAAATTATATCCGAGTTTCACAATTTTAATTTTAAGTATCATACATGCATGTATTTGACATATATATACATTTGTGTATCGTTGTTTTACACTCTTTTTATATTAACGTGTATCTATTCCATAGTAGTATACATGCATTAAATTTAAGTACCATAGATCAAACACTTTCTCCAGTTCAAAGCTAATATATATATATCTCTATGTTCTCAATGTATTTATGTATAAACATATATTCTTAGAATAAGAAGAAGAAAATTAAATACAAATACACATATATATCCTTAGAGCTGTTAACTCTTCTTAATTTCATATATACATAAATATATAAATACACAAATACTGAAATACATATGTATCTCTTCAAAATAGAGATGCATAGAAAATTTATTATTGCAATTTTTCTAGAATTTATGAATTCAAGTTTATCATTTATTGGTAAAAATAAAAATAGAGAGATACATACATACACTATACATACATAGAGATGAAAACAAAGTCCCAATCAGTCGGTGGGGTGACGTATATTGTTGCTCTTTCTCTTTGCCTTTTTCAACTTTTTGTGTTTTTTTTTTTTTCTTCTTTCAAATTTGTCGAAATCTTTTTAAAATTTGAAGGGGCAGATTACATGGACATAATTGTTACTCATTTCACTCCTATTTACTTGACACGTTACGTTTCTACGCTATACAAAAAGAGATATTGCTACGACAACGTCCTTGTAACTGTTTAGCATCTCAATTCCACTCACCTTGCTCCACTTGTCATTTCAGGATTTGAAACCACTTTTTAGTTATAACTTGGGCTTACAACAATCCCTTAAATTTATCTATATATTTCATTAAAAATATGAATTACGATTTGTTTCTATAAAGATATGGCACTTGACATGACTCAATCTTAAAAGTTTGCTCTGTCTCAAGTGGAGGAGCTAGAAATTTTATTAAGGGTGTCCAAATATAATGGTGTGTGGTTGTCAAAATAAATTTTTTGAGGGTGTCAAAAAATAATTGGGTGTGACTGTCAGAATAAAACAAGAATAAAACAAAATAATATTGTTCTATTTGTGGTTTAAACCTAGAACTCATTCATTCAAATGGACACCCATTACAACTAAGCGAAAGACATAACTTTTGTCAAGTGTGTCCAACTTTAAATATATATTCTTTAAATGTAGAATTTGACATAGATATACAACGTAATTTTCCAACGAAAGGATAGTTATAGCTATGCCACTAGTTTGTCCAAGTCGCCCAGACCTCAACTGGAGCATAAACACTTATAATGGGGGACCTAACATCGGTGAACAACAGATTGTGATGATCCCGACTGTGATATCATGTTGAAGTGTGTGCCAATTTCATCTAAAAGATGAGATGTTAGAGAGAGCGCACCTTTTATTAGCTAATGATAATTCTTTTTCATTGGAAGAGCAGGCGGTGAGATTCGATCCCTGGACCTCCATCTGCTCTGAAAACATGTTGAAGATATGATACTTGGGCCTACCTCAACCCGAATAGCTACCTCATGAGAGAAGGTTTGTCCAAGTCCATATAAGAAGATCCATTTTCCATCCCTTCATCCGATGTAAAAGACTTCTTAATAGTTTCAATCGATATAACTATTTAAAATATATCCTTACCTGTATGAACTTGAATTAACATTTTTATGAAATCAGCATGATGAGATTTATAATCTACGATACTTATTGTATAATTTTTAAATTTAAAATATTAAATTAGTTTAATTCAATTTAACTTCATAAATTAGTTAAATAAACTTTTGAGAAAGCAAAAATGTTAAGAGACGGAACAAATAATTACTCTCTCTCTCGGAACTAATCCCTTGACATAAAGCCATCTAATTGTAAAATATTTTATATGTTTTTCTTCTCACTGAGCTTGTTCCGTGCGTGATTGATTAACCAACTTTTATATTATTGAGGTCGAGATTGATAAAATTTCTTTATTAAAAGAGAAAATCTTATTAGAAAACGTCTCTTATATAGATTTTATATATAGTGTAAATTTAAATTAATTGGAATTTCAATAAAAATATCAAATATCGATAGAAAAAATTAGGAAAAAAACAATCTTTAGACTTTTTAATCTTTGCGTATTAGACAGGTACTAATCTTTTGACTTAAGCGATGTAGTAGTAAAATTATGTTGAAATCAAAGGTGATAGAAACTATTAAAAAAAGATTGATGAAACAACTGTCATGTTCATAAAATATAAGTGAAGAGCTGACTTTCATAAGTAGGTATCCTCCATTTATTGTGATTATCTAGTCGGCCCAGATAAACGAAAAACAAGAAAAAGAGAGAAAATGTGGCACACGGGGAAGGGGGGGTGGGGTGGGGGGGTTAGTTTTGATTACGTATATTCACTGTAATCTCACATGTGAAGTTTGGAGAAAGTAATATTATATGTAGACGTTATTCATATCTTGTGAGGATAGATTTGAAGTATATTAAAAACGTATTTATATTTATTGATTTGGTGTAAACATACCACATATATAATTTTTTATCGAGAAAGGAGAGAGAGTTTATATGCTACTATGATGAATTACTAAAAAAAAATTATTTTTATTTATCACTTAATTATGATAGACAACTAAAACTTTTGATCATGAGCTGATAAACTTTTCTTTTTATTTTTTGATGGAAAACGAAATTTAATTCCTCACTTCAAAAATAATATTTCCCCTTTTTAAGAATGTAACTAAAGTGAGCAGGGATTTTAGTTGTTGGCACGCACAAATGAAAACATGTTTTATTCTATACGACACTATGAAAGTTGGTGGATAATGAAAATAAAGGCTACTATGTGCGATTCTGTATTCAGAAGAACTCAAATTCAAAACTTCTAAAGATAACGAATTACTTAATACCTGAGCAGTCACCACAATCCTTGCTGGTAACAGTGACTTAATATATCTGTTGAGGATCAATATATATAGGGAATAAAAAAGAATTTACCTAAATGAGAAAGGAACAGAAGACATATATTAAAGGAAGATAGAAAGATATGGCAGAACATAAAATAATGATTCTGGAATTAGTATCTGATACACCTTTATTACAATCTTCTTTTAAGGTTACATATATTATTAAGATAGGATCGAGAAAGTGAAAAGAGTATGAAATGGGAGCTGAATATGATCTATTTTTTCACCTTTACTTTATTTTTTTAGTATTATATAAACAAATAACCCAAATTGAAAAAATAATATTGATTTATTGGTCAAGAATTATGATTTAAAATTAATTTGATAATGATTTAACATATCTACAAATTGATAATCGATAATATTTAAAATTGAAGTGAACCACCCAATACGCACTGTATATATACATGCACAATATAAGACTTTGGACCAAATTTTAGTAGTTGTAGCCAAGATTTTCAAAAGGGATCTAAATAAAAGAAAATAACATATGAAAAAGTTAAAGAGGATCAGATTCAATGTCTAATAAATATAGACATTGAAAATTATCAGTGCTATATAGGGGTGTGCAATGTTTGGATTAAACCGAAAAACCAAATCAAATCAAACCGAATTCTAATTTGGATTGGTTTTTTGGATTTTTGGTTTGGTTTTGGATTTATAATTTACTTTGTTTGGTCTTTTGGTTTGGTTTCGGATTTAGAAAAATAAAAACCAAAAAATTGAATTATATATATATATAGAGAGAGAGAGAGATAATTAAGTTGAAGTTAACTACTTTTGTCCCTTTTTCGTTACCTTTTATGTTTGGACATCTATAATTGATATACTTTTAAGTATTGTGTTTTACGTTTTACTTGTGATTTATATTAAAAAGTATATTTAAGAAATTGATTAACCGAACCGAAAAAATCCAAACCAAAAAGAGAAAAATCATACCAAACCAAATTTATTTTGGTTCGGCTATATATTATATTTTGTACGAGCTGGAGCTTGAACTACTACACTCCCCCCCCCCCCCCCCCCCCCCCCCCCCCCACCCCGGGAATTAATATTAATATTTATACATCTCAAAAAGAGGGTTATAAATTCAGTATACATCCTTTCGTTTTTTCTTTAAAAAAAAGGTTTTATTTTTCATTTTTATTTAATTACATATGATGTAGTAAAGCCTATGATCTTCTGCTAAGTAATGAGCAAGCTATATGACTGTCCTTTGAAATTAAAAGTGTGGTATAAATTATAGTTCTTTTTTATTTGGTTGTAATTGTAAAATGTAAGAAGTGTACGGACTTACACTTTTCTAATTGATTTAAAATAAAAATAATAACTCGTGTTTGAAAATTGATTG